ATAAAGTAAGCGAAGTTTTTTCAAAATTTAATTTTGATTCATAAATGCTCTTAGATCACCTGCATCAAAAAGTAATTAAAAAATAAAATATATACATTATTTTAGCGGTTAGGGCTCTATATGTCGACTTTGTCCGATGCTCTTCGTTATTTGGAAATCCGAAAAATTGGAAGATAGAAGATCTTTTCCAAGACAAAACTTATTTACACATAAAGCGGTGTAGCATTTTATATGTTAGCCGAATTCAATAAAGCACGCTATTCGATTCCCTTCTATGCTAATTGACGCCTATTGGAAATGCCAACTGATGCTAAGTCCTTCTCCAACTGGTCTTTTTATCCTCTGCCACCACCAACGGCCGCAGCGTTTCTCATAGATTTATAAAAATTGTATTTTTTGTTAATTTTTCATATGAATTGTTTTTAACTAAGAATTTGTGAAGCCGCTCCTGAATTTTCAAAAGTAAAAATGTCATTTCGAGTACATTCTCTTATCGGATCTCTCTTTCTTTTTTCTATATTTCGACACTCTGATGTTGGGGAATGTACTTTGTATGTACTAGCAATATAGAAGTATTACATATATGGAAATACCATTCCACAGTTTTGAAAAAATTGGTTTTTCGCGCTTTTGTAAAATTTATTTACCATCGCTTCGCGCTGAGCGACGATATAGTTCAATACAGTCCAATTTTTAATGGTATAATCTTAATTATAAAATATTTACGCTGATCAGATATTTCATTGATTCTTACAAAGAAGTTGGAAACTGTGTATCTATGTACTTATTTAAAAACGTCATTTAGAGTCTGGTAATGTTAAAGATATTAACATACATATGCACCTAATACGGGAAGCCTGATTTTATAAAATATGTAGTTATATATATACTTATATATGAATGTATTTCATTTATTTCCGGCCTTAAAAGGATTTACTTTTCAAAAATGCAAATAAAAACTGATTTCCTTTGGTTTGTAAAATTTGTCTATACGTACTATATAAAAGAATTTGTGATTACCTGAGTTGTTAATCTAATAAAAAATTGGTTACTTTTCCTTACATTTGGTAACTTTTTCGTCAAATCTTGGTTAGAAAGTTTTTTGAGCGGCGGCAACACTGTGCACAAGTACTCAATGAGCGGTAGTTCTGATAGGTAAGCACATTACATATGAGTCCTAGGCACACGAAAATACGTATTTTTAGGTGCTGCGGAACTACATATGTAGTACAAGTACTAATGATCTGAGCACTGGTGGATGTAGTTTCTGAGGTGCTGGTATACTGTACATCATTTTCCAAGTCAGGTGACACCTCTAGGTCCTCATCAGAACTTTCATATTCATTCGGCTCGAAGTAATACGTTGGATCGGCGACATCGTCGTCAGAAGAAAAGTCAAGGCCATTTTCACTATGTTCCCATTCTTCTAGTATAATTTCCAGGCCTTGAGCATTATGATCCCCAAAAAGAAGCATTCCAATTCAAAAATAACACTAAGAAAGTATACCAGAACGCGCAATGTTGCATATATGCAACAAAACGAAATCAGTAAAAAAAATAAAAAGAAACGGTTCTGCTAAAAAAAAATTTATTGATTATTGAAATACATCCTCTTATCTTTAACTCACACCAATTTCAACAACGAAATATCTGTATTTCAGCAATAAATCGTTTATCGTAAACGAATACTAAGGGCGCGAAACTGGTTTGTGCTCACACGCCACTTCAATGAAATAAAAACACAAATTCAGCCACCTTGTCAGCTGGTTTGTTTCTTACCCGTTAGAATGCTTTGTTGCTGATGTACAACACTGCGTAGAGTCAGTCTAAGAGCATTTGCTATATTTTTACTTCTCTTTGAATGGTATGTTGCAGAAGTACAACACTGCCCCATAAAAAGTTAAGAATATTTAATTATTCTAAAATTTAAAAAAAAATTTTTGGATCACCGCTTTTTTTTAATTATTTATTTTTGAATTCTAACCTTTTTCATTCATTTTGAAATTTCGATCGTAAGAATTATGAATTTTATTTCCGAGCTTTTTTGTTTTTGAATATTTCTTCTGATTTCACTGAATATTTAAAATTTTGGATTGCGCAAAATTTTTCTGTATTTCTTTTAATTGTGTCTTTTGATAAACTTTTCGCCTCAGGAAAAATAGCCCCGAACAGGAGCTTGTCGGTATAATTCGAAGCAACCTTAAGCATTACCTTGCTAAATTAACTTTTGCTTCACGGATGAGTACGCTAGCTGAATTAAAGTCAGAGTGTAAACGAGCTGAAAAGGTCATTAAGGAAAATAAAGGTAGGCGAATTAGATTTTATGGAAGTGGAAGCATCGCTAGAAAAAAAGTATAGAAGCTTTAGATAGGGCCAAGTGCAATAACACACAGCAACCAGTGATAGCTAATAATTATTCGTCTTCCTCCGTTAGTCCTAATGTCGGTGCTGATGTCAATAATTCAACAACTCCTTCTGTGTGTCCACTTTTCACCTCGTGTTATGTCTTTCGTGTGGTCTGTTTTGCGTGTGCTGGTGGCTCATCCTTCTGTGTATTCAAGCCAATACAGGGAAACCAGAAACTGACGGAGCTATCCGGGAACCCTCGCGAGGTGAAGCAGAGCCCGGAAGCAAATCAGCAATAATTTTGAAGAGAGGAGTCAGTATTGAAGAAAAATAAGACAAAGGGTTATTTGAAAATAGGGTAGTTAAAGGTCTACAACAGAGGTTGCCAAACTTTTTTTTCTCGTAGACCCCTTTCAAAAATTTACTGGTCTCGGTGGACCCCCTGCTGATACATTTCTAAATATTTCCAAAGCCCGTAACTAAATTAAATGTGAAGATTAGATCTAAAAATATCAATTTGCATCGTGGGTGAATTCAAAAACTAAACTCAGAGTGGCCAAAATAAAAGTAAAATATTTTCTTGTGTTCTATTTATAAAAATAATGTGATTACACACTTGTAGATTTTAAAAAATAGAGCTCGTAAATACATCAAAATACTCTCTCGCTCGGAAAAGTTATATTTTTTACGAGCACTGCGATCGCTAGCGTTATTTACATTATCTTCACCATAAACTAATCAAATGTTCGCCTCTCTCATGACTTTGCACGTGGAGTATATGTAAAATAGTTTACTTGTGTTAATTCCATCATTTTTATTTTTATCGCTCCGAGTTGTAATGCGAGGCGAATAATATTTGTCACATTTTTAAAACACAAAACTTAAAACATCAAAACGGTTAAGCTTTTTACGCCAAACTTTTAATTCAGAAACTGACAATAGAGGTAATAACGAGTTTAAAAAAGTCGATGGCAAATAAACAAGCAAGCAAAAAGCACAAAAAGTGTTCCACCGTCTCATCTTCTTCAAGGCAAGATGGGCAAATAGACTTGTCATTTACGCCTATCACAGTCAGGTGTTTGTTCCGCGTAGTGACCAGTCAGCAGTGCAGCAACTTGTCTGCAGTGTCGTCTGCTCAGTGAGAGAAAAAAATTAGATAAACCTTGTGAGATTGAAGGCAACATGAGTTTTGCCCACCTGCATCCCCTCAATGCCTTTCAGTCATTTCTGAGCGAAGTATTTACCCAGTTTCTGATGGTGGCTTCGATTGCCGAAGGTGGGTGTTTATTCCTAATAAACACATCCCTGCATTATGCTCCTGAACTCCGAAAAGCGAAGGAAGGATAATGCAGGAATGAAAAACCGCGCCAACTTAACTCCAAGAAAGTCAGTTTTTATATACATATACATATACAACACGGAAAACATAAAGTTAAACTGGTCAATATAAATAAAACCTAACTAACTCAAATACAATAAATACACACATAACACAATTAACCTCATTGTACATATACCCACACATTTTGGTCCTACCGAGCCGTGAACTCGATAAAGGAAATTAAACACACAAATCAAAAATTCATCGTTGGAAAATTCACCCAGCATTCTACCCAGCAACAATCAAAAAAAAAAATAAAACATTGAGGGAATAAAATAGAGCAAATCACGGCAGCTAAGTACCTACATACATACAAAAACAAGGAGGGAAATCCAACACATCAGCACACTTTAAAAACAGACCCATTGCTGGAACTACTGTAAGTGCGACCCAAAATATTTCCATTAAATCTTAATAAAAGTGCAAATCAGAAAAATCCTATAGGGCTAAATTAAAATTTTGTGCTTAAGACAGCTTAAATTCAAATTTTTGTCACTATTTGCTTTGTTAAATTCTGCACTTGTTTAATACATACTCGTACATACATAAATATTTACTTACCGGAAGTCGTGCAGTAACCCATCAGTTGCTCTGCCGACGGTAAATACTGTATATACATACCCGTGCTTACATACACACATTCATGATAAAAACATAACAAGGTAAAACCATTGAGAGGCAGTTTGACGTTTGCCAACAATATAATTATAATATCAAAACTCAAACTCACACACACATTCTCATTTTCAATCTCAAACAACAACAATTGTGAACAATTTAATTTTTTTGTTTTCAATTTTATATGATTTTAAAATGTTGGCAAACGTCCGAAAAAAATCATGGCCGACGAAATGAGAGAATGAATTTACCTTGTAATGTTTTTATCATGCACACATTCATATAACAACCCATTCCGCCCAACAATTTGTTGGTATAGCATCAACGGTTAGCCCAACTTGTACCAATTTAAAAATACCCAGTAGGAAATCGGAGCAGTGACCCAATAGGAAAAAATTGCAAACACCATGCAAGAAATTTTTCAATACAAGAGGTATTTGCCCTTGGTGCAGAAACAAAAAAAAATAAAGATATAACTAGTTACTTTTGCTTAGTTTATTAACCCTCAACCCAAAAAGAGGCGAAAAGTATCCAAATTAATAGCTCATAAAATTTTGCGAATTTTTAAGAAACCAAAACATTTTGTTTCCCTCTACCCTCAGAACACTAAGCAGACTCACTCATTTCAACTGATTTGTTAGTAAACCTCGTCTTTTTTAATTAAAATGGAGGAATTTAATATAACAATTTCTGATTTGATCGAATTCGTGGAAGATCATTTCAAGACCCCAGCAGAAGATGAGTCAGTTTATACTTTAGAAATCAAAAGAGTTGAACTCGATTCTCTCTACAGCAAAGCGAAAAAAGCGTATGATGCTTGTCGTAGAACCCCCAATAATGCGGATGACACCGTTGATTTCAACGAAGTAAAAGGAAAATACAAATAATGCTACCAGATGTATTTGAATTGCCTAGCTTCAATAAATAAGGATGTTGACACTCTAAAGACCCCGAACCCCACCCAACCAATTAAGGAGAGACGTTCAGAGGCCCCGATGATGGAGTTTGCACCCATGGTTCATCTACCCCCATGCGACACGGACGTCTTTTATGGAGATTATGTTACATGGCCTACCTTTAGAGACGTGTTCACAGCACTTTACATCCATAACCCAAGGATAAGTAATGTGGAAAAGCTCTTCCACTTAAACCAAAAGACCCAAGGCGAAGCAAGAGAGGTAATCAGGAACGCACCCTACACGAACGACGGTTTCATACTGGCATGGAAAAATTTGATCGATCAATATGAAAATAAACGGATGCAGGTGAATACCCAATTAAAGACCCTGTTTAATTTGCCACAAGTGACCCAAGAAACAGGCCACTCTATTAAGACCCTACAAAGAACTGTTAACAATTCTTTGACAAATTTAACCAACTTTGGCATAGACACAAGGAACTGGGACCCGATCTTAATATACCTATGTAGTTCAAAACTACCAAAGGAAACTTTAGAAGCATTTGAATATACCCTAGAAGATAACTCCACAATACCCACATGGGAAACATTCGATAGCTTTTTGACCCATAAATATAAAACCTTAGAATCTGTTGGGAATTTCAAAGCTTCGATTTCAAGACCACACCAAACGCACCCAGGTTCAGTCAAGAAAAGTGATGAAAAGCGATATAACACTTTTCATGCAAACGTTTATGAAAACCAGACACCCGGACCCCCAACATCTCGAAATAATTCAAACCCTGCTCCCTCAAGAAAACAATTCGAGGTAGAAAGCTGCAAAATATGCAAAAAGCAACATTCTATTCGTGAATGCCCAAAATTCCTCACAATGAATGTAGAAACCCATATATCCACTATCAAAAATTATGGATATTGTTACAACTGCTTGGCAATTTCGCACAGCTTCAGAGACTGCAAAAGCAAATACTCTTGCAGAAAATGCAACAAGAGACATAATACCCTAATTCATAGAGACTCAGTTACTCGAATAATTTCGACTCCTGATACCAGCACAAGTTCCTCCCCACCCACTCAAAACACTCATACAAATTCGCAAGCCTACACCAACACCATACAGTCCACTACCCAAGACCCACTCAACCCAAGTAGAAAGCAGATTTTATTAGGTACGGCAAAGGTTCAGGTGGAACATAATGGCCAAAGATACATGGCAAGAGCACTCATAGACTCGGGATCTGAAAAACTACAGAGAAATTTAGATATACCCACCCACTCTATGTCAACCCAAGTAACCGGATTAACCAACGCGGTTTCAGCGACACCAACGAGGATATGCGACATCACCGTCTGCTCACCCTTGAACATAAACTTCAGAATATCGACCCAAGCGTTTATTCTAAATAGTCTCACGGATAATTTACCCTCATACCCCCTCGACCCAAAGATGTGCCTTGGAAAACTCGGCTTCACATTGGCAGATACCCAATTCCACAAACCCAGACCCGTGGATATATTAATTGGTAGTGATCTTTATCCTCAAATTATACTCGGTGGAGTTAAACGAGATATTTTAGGTTCACTCTTAGCCCAAGAGACAGAATCGGGATGGATTTTATCTGGTCCTGTACCCAGACCGTCTCAATCAACAAACTTAGTTTCATTTTACAATAAAATGACCCCAGATAATCTACTCACTCGTTTTTGGGAGGTGGAAGAAGTTCCCAGAAAACCCTTGGCCTCTCCATCAGATATTCTTTGCGAAGAAAACTACCAAAGAACGACACTTAGAAACCCAAGTGGACGCTATGTAGTAACTCTACCCTTCAAGGACCCCGAAAACATCGACATTGGAAGTTCAAGACACATAGCGCTAGCACAATACCTTAGAAATGAAAAGTCTTTATTTAGAAAACCTGAGGTAAAGGCGGAATATGACAAGGCAATTACCGAATATTTGGAACTCGGTCACATGAAGAAGGTCGAATGTAATACCGCGGATAAAACGACCCCATATTACTTACCACATCATGCGGTCATTAAACCTGATCGCATCACAACAAAACTTCGCGTGGTATTTAATGCTTCGAACCCCACTTCGAATTGAAAGAGCCTTAATGACGTTCTACACATTGGACCCACCTTACAAAAATACTTAGTCATTCTAATTGTAAAATGGAGACTCTTTCGATTTGTTTTAAACGCGGATATTCAAAAAATGTACCGACAAATCCTCGTAGACCCAAAACACACCCCGTTCCAAAGAATCCTCTTTAGAAAATCCATTGAGGACCTAATAGAAGACTTTGAGCTTCAAACGGTTACATTTGGTATAAACTGCGCCCCTTACTTAGCAATCCGAACTCTTCTAAAGCTAGCCGATGATGTCCAAGAAAGGGTTGGATTAGCATCTAACATTTTACGAAATGAAATGTACGTGGACGACGTTTTAACAGGAACCCATGAGCTATCAACTGCTAAACGAGCACGAGATGAACTCACTTTTGCTTTAGAGTCCACGGGATTCGCCTTACGAAAATGGACCTCCAATGACCCAGAAATATTAGCAGAGTTGCCCCAAGGACAACGACTCGATACCGAGTTACTCAATTTACCCGAGTTCGACAACACCAAAACCCTAGGTATTCGTTGGAACTCCAAGATAGATTCATTCTTTTTTCTCGTCAACCCAATCGAGAAGAAACCCGCATACACAAAAAGAGAAATTTTATCAATCATAGCTAATTGTTTGATCCCGCCGGCTGGCTCAGCCCAATAATAATAACGGCAAAAATTATTATGCAACAAGTATGGCTTGATAAATCTGACTGAGACGAAAGTTTTAAGCCACTTACCCTTCATCGATGGCTTAGTTTCGTAAAGTAGTACGAAACGTTAAACAAGATTGAAATACCCAGATGGACCCACTTCACTCCATCAACCACCATTGAATTCCATGGATTTTCTGATGCCTCCGAGAAAGCTTATGCAGCGACTCTCTATATTCGAGTTAAAATGGAAACCAAAGTATGGACCACCATGCTAGTTTCGAAGACGAGAGTTGCCCCAATTAAGTGTATATCATTGCCAAGATTAGAACTCTGTGGAGCCGTTCTGCTAGCTAATGCTGTCGACTCTACACTATCCCAACTACATCTGACCCAGTATCAGACCTATTTTTGGACGGACTCAACGATAGTCNAAACCAAAGAATGGACCACCATGCTAGTTTCGAAGACGAGAGTTGCCCCAATTAAGTGTATATCATTGCCAAGATTAGAACTCTGTGGAGCCGTTCTGCTAGCTAATGCTGTCGACTCTACACTATCCCAACTACATCTGACCCAGTATCAGACCTATTTTTGGACGGACTCAACGATAGTCCTATCGTGGTTAAAGAAGCCACCATGTTCCTGGACTACTTTCGTATCTAATAGAATCACCACAATCACGGAAAATGTCGGAATTAATAACTGGCGCCATGTCGAAAGTCGTGATAATCCCGCTAATCTGGCAAGTCGAGGTTGTACGCCCACGGAACTTTTAAATAGCGAACTCTGGTGGCACGGACCCAAATGGCTAAAGCTCGAGTGAGAACAGTGGCCAACAACTTAAAAACCCTAGAGCACAACCCTTGAAGCCAAACCTGTAAAGATTTTCGCAATAACAACCCAAGAGGACATCCTTGAAAGATTCTCCTCACTACNAATCTGGCAAGTCGAGGTTGTACGCCCACGGAACTTTTAAATAGCGAACTCTGGTGGCACGGACCCAAATGGCTAAAGCTCGAGTGAGAACAGTGGCCAACAACTTAAAAACCCTAGAGCACAACCCTTGAAGCCAAACCTGTAAAGATTTTCGCAATAACAACCCAAGAGGACATCCTTGAAAGATTCTCCTCACTACCCAAAGCCATTCGTGTAATTGCGTATTTATTCAGGATTTGCTCAAATGCATCACCCAGGAGACGTGAAACGCACTACCCAAGCCGAGAAATAACTCCTAACGATTTAAAGCGACACGAATGAAGCTGATTATTTTGACCCAACAAACTCATTTCCCGGACGAATATGACGCTTTGACCCGAAAGTCCCAGATACCCAAGAAAAGTTCACTACTGACACTTAACCCATCAGGTGATCCTAATGGAATGATGCGAGTTGATGGCCGATTAAGCAATTCCACGGCATTATCATACAACAAGCGTCATCCGATTTTATTACCCTATAGCAGCCATATGGCAAAGCTCCTGACCAGATTTACTCACTCAATAACCCTACATGGTGGAAATCAACTAGTTTTGCGACTCATTCGAACAGAATTCTGGATTCCAAGGTTAAAGACCCTCATAAAAGCAATGATCTATAACTGCAAAACTTGTATATTGCACAAGAAAGAACACCAAACACAAATAATGGCAGCACTTACAGCGGAGAGGACAACCCTAACCCGTCCATTTGCCGCCGCAGGAATTGATTTCGCTGGACCCTATGACATCAAGAATTACACTGGAAGAGCATGTCTAATAACCAAAGGTTACATCTGTGTATTTGTTTGCTTCGCAACCAAAGCAATACACCTCGAACCCGTTAGCGATCTTACGACACAAGCGTTTATGGCGGCATTCGCGCGTTTCTTTTCCAGACACGGATGCCCCGCCGATCTTTACTCAGACAACGGAACGAACTTCGTAGGAGCTTCACAATTATTAGCCAAAGATCGACGAGAATTTGTAAAATCCTTAAAACCGAAGTCACAGCCAGTTATACCCATCAAAACGTCAACTGGCACTTCAACCCTCCCGGAGCTCCACATATGGGTGGACTATGGGAAGCCGGAGTAAAAAGTTTGAAAACTCATTTAAAAAAGGTATCAAAAATCCAGAAATTCACCTTTGAAGAATTAGCTACCCTACTTACCCGCATCGAGAGTTGCTTAAACTCACGTCCATTGAGCCCTTCAAGCGATGATCCAACTAATTTGGAACCTATAACCCCAGGACACTTCCTTATAGGTGCCCCGTTACTCACCCCTGCCGAACCCAACTTGGACGACGCAAATTTAAGCATCGCAAACAGATGGCAGAAATTGAAAATACTTCACCAGCATTTCTATAAAAGATGGAAGGAGGAATACTTAAAGGAACTCCACAAGCGATATAAGTGGAAATACCCTCAACGAAACATTGAAGTGGGTGACTTAGTCGTCATTAGAAATGAAACTTACCCCCAAACGAATGGAAGCTAGGCCGAATCGAGAAGGCCTATTTCGGTTCGGACAACAAAACCCGGGTGGTCGAAATTCGCACCGCTCAAGGCATTATAACCCGCCCCATCACAAAAGTCGTGATATTGCACACCCATTAACCTATAAGTTTTCTTTCTTTGTAGAAAAATGGCACCAACTAACGTTTCCCGGAACTCCGCAGCAAACAGCAGCACTCGGCGAAGCAGCCCAACCTCCACCATCCGCTGCCTAAGCATGACCCGCAGCATTTCACCTATATCGGATATAGAAACCCTCTCTAAGCGTGCACAACGCTTCCGTGCAACCCTTTCTCCTATACGTGAGGAAAAGGAAAGTGGTATCCATCGCACGGCCCGACCCAAAATCACTCACACTCGTCACCATAAGTACGACCCACACCGCCATGTAGCATGCGGTTTATGCAAGAAGGACCATCGCTTGGTGACTTGCACAAAGTATACTNCACTTGCACAAAGTATACTAATATGAACATTCATGAGAAGTACATCGCAGTCATCAAGACCCACTATTGCATAAATTGCTTGGCCAGGTCACACAAAACACAAAAATGCACAAGTGAGAAGACGTGCAATGGAAAACATCATTCTTCCCTTCACGGCCACCCAAGATTCAACACCGAGGTGGATACAAAACACCAGAAAAAAGAAAAAAACTCACGCTTTACCAGTTAATACTAAAATACCAAGCATGACGGCATATGGCATAAGGTTCGAGCCTTAATAAACCCGACCCAAACATTGACAACCGTTGCAGACGAGCTGGTGAGAAAGCTATCATTGCCGATCACATTTCTCAATGCTAATCGTATATGCAACATGCAACTGGGCTCACTAAAGGATGACAAATTTCGCATCGAGTGTAACAGCTTAATCACTAAGGATCTACCCAAACAGCCGTATGATCGGGACTTAAGTGACGAAGAAAAATCCGATTCGACCACCTCAATTTGGAATTAGGAGCCGACGTTTAGCCACTCATCCTCAGAAACGGAGTTTTTAATCCGGACAATGGCATGGTCGTAGCCCAGAACACAGCATTTGGTTGGACTTTAACAGGCACTATATAAAATAGCCCAATCTACCCTAAGTATACTTTGCTACTGAAACTTTCCCAATTTAAATCAACTGAGTTATATGTCTATCCACTCCACTAATTTCTATTTTATTCGTAGATCTTGCAAGGCGGCCGGGATGTTTATTCCAAATAAACACATCCCTGCATTATGCTCCTGAACTCCGAAAAGCGAAGGAAGGATAATGCAGGAATGAAAAACCGCGCCAATTTAACTCCAAGAAAGTCAGTTTTTATAAAACTACCCGTGCATCAACACGCAAGCGATAGCAGCCTCAATAGAAGACAACAACAACAATCAATAACATATACAACACGAAAAACATAAAGTTAAACAGGTCAATATAAATAAAACCGAACTAACTCAAATACAATAAATACACACATAACACAATTAACCTCATTGTACATATACCCACACATATATTGTATTTTATACACACCACCCACTATATCTAAACACACTGAAATGTTACCCTTTGAATTCTAAATTAAAGATTATTGTTTATAACGATTAAATAAGACCCACTTCTTTTCTTTATTCGGAATCGGCCACGAATGGTCGACATACCCCGACAGTGGGAGTGCTAACACTGGTTGCGGACCGAGGAATACCTGGTCTGAGCCAACTCTGGCCAAATGATCAGATGTCTCATAACCAAGTACTTCAGAGTGACCTGGCACCCATAGTAAAACAACCTCGTTTTGTTCACCATCATATTTTAGTCGAGACTTGCATTGCCGAACTAGTTCGGAAGTACTTAAATAGAGGGCTGGTCAATGCCTTAAGTGCAGCTTGGTTGTCACTGCAGTCACGTAAACTTCTTCCCCTCCACCTATGTTCCACCCTTAGTCTATGGCTTTGAGTATTGCAATTACCTCAGCCTGGAAGACCGAAGCATATTCCCCTACAGAAAAGTGAAGCTTATCTCCATTAAACTCGAAAAAGACCCCAGAGCATGACCCAGAGTCAGTTTTGGAGTCATCAGTGAAGAATCAACAATGTGTGAGTCCGGTCTCAGCGATGGAATCAAACCAGCATTCAGTCTCAAGGAACTCAACATTATTGAATTTCTTCAATAAAGGTAATGGTAGTGTACTATCCTGTAGCATTGAAAAGACACAATTGCTTAAATCTCCGCCGCCAGCAATTTTCGTCGCGCCCCACTCATTGTCATACCAGCATCTGGTTCTTTTTAGTCTACAGGAAAAACACTAACTGACGGTAAGTGCAGCAGTGCCTCAAAAGCACTATACACCACTAAAAAATTTAAGTTAAATAAAGAGGTTATTAAGCAACCATTTTCGTTCTTTACATCGAAACCAGATAAAACTTCGTGGGCACCTATTTACAACTCATGGAGCCCCATATTTTTTTCACATCACCGTGAACCCTCGTCGAGTCTTCCGTGGACCCCTGGGGGTCCACCTGGACCACTTTGGAAATCACTGGTCTACAACAAAGAGAGCTAGACTATGAGGAGGCGCGTAGACTCATATTTGGTGAAGAAGTACTTCAGGTAAAGAAGATAAGGAGTTATAAAAAGACCGAAAGTATGAGGGCGAAGAAAAAGAACCTCTGTAGAATATGTAGGAAAATAATCTCCACAATTGTTACTATAAAAGGTGATAACAGATTTTTTGCTAAGACAAAATTAGGAAATCAGGAAGTACTACCCTTATTGGATTTAGGAGCAGGTGCTAGCTGCCTAGGCAAAAATGCTGACAAGCTTCTGGAGGGCAAAGAATGTATGATACTTCCTATGAAGGGGCAGAATATCCGCACCGCGAACGGTGGAGAAACTGCGGTGGTAGATGTAACGCGTGATTAGAGTTCTTGATCGCACCTGGCATGCAACAAGAGGTTTATTTAGGTATAGATTTCTGGAAAGCGTTTGATATGAGTATTGTGAGTGAAGGAGTGCCTGCGAGTGTGAATGGTGCGGGTGTTTCAAAGCTGGTACCCGTCGAGGGTGATCTATCCCTTGACGCGGTGCAACACGCATTGACTCACGATCAAACTGTGGCATTAGAGCGTATTAAGACACAATTTTCGTCCTTTGCCGCGTTAGGACTAACCAAGACAGACAAAGAGGAGCATGATATAGTAGTGACCAACAAGAAACTTCCAGTAAAGCAGAGGCAGTATCCATTATCTCCAGCTATTTAGAAACTTGTTTATAATCAATTAGATCGGATGCTTCAGATGGGAGTAATAGAAGAGTCTAACAGTAGTTGGAACTCGCCAGTTTCACTCGTTATAAAAGGGACCAAAAATCGCCTCTGTATGGAAACTCGTAAGGTAAACGAAACGGACTATTGAAACGCTTATCCACTGCCCACATTGATGATATCCTAAGTCGACTATAAAACACTAGGTTTATATCCGAAATCGACAGCCTGCCAGCCGAGCTATTCCAGTACTGGGGCGAGGAGCTGATGAGGTGCATGCATCAGCTCGTAAGCAGAATATGGTCAGATGAACGCATTCCCGACGACTGGAATTTAAGTGTGCTCTTCCCAATCCAGAAGAAAGGCGACCCCGCCATACAGTTGGCGCATAACCAGCCTTCTAAGCATAGGTTTTAAGGTCTTATCGAGTGTATTGTGCGAAAGGCTGAAGCCCACCGTCAACGAGCTGATTGGACCTTATCAGTGTGGCTTTAGGCCTGGAAAATCCACCATAGATAAGGTATTCACAATACGCCAAATCTTGGAAAAGATCCGCGAGAATAGGATCAACACACACCATCTATTTGTCGATTTCAAAGCCGCTTTCGACAGCACGAAGAGAAGTTGCCTTTATGCCACCATGTCTGAATTTGCTATCCCCGCGAAACTAATACGGCTATGTAAAATAACGTTGAGCAATACCACCAGCTCCGTCAGAATAGGGAAAGACCTCTCCGAGCCGTTTGATACCAAACGAGGTTTCAGACAAGGGGACTCCCTTTCGTGTGATTTCTTTAATATGATGTTGGAGGAGATAATAATAGCCGCAGAACTGAACCGCTCAGGCGCAATACTTTACAAGAGCGTACAATTGCTGGCGTATGTCGACGACATCGATATTATCGGTAAAAACAAGGGCTACGTCTGTTCTGCCTTCTC